GACCGACTGTCCAAATTAGACTAAAGGCTGATGCTGCTCCAACCCTGTTTGTTCATCATCAGAACCAAGGAGGAGGAAAGACCCTGGTGTGAGAAGAACTTCCTGTCTTTTTTCTGTGAGCTCAACAGGATACAGTTTTTTTTTCTTCAGGCTGCTTCTTCAGCTTTTAGAATGGGCCACAATCTCCAAAACCAGACAAAAGGCTGTTCTTCATGTCCCACATCTGGTAAGAAGCTTTTCAGAAGGTCCGGTGCATTTTTCATGGAGCTCCTAAATGGATCCTGAAGAGAGAGAAGCAAGTTTGTTATAAAGCATGTTCCCTTCAAGTAATGATGTACCAAAAGAAAAAACAAACAAACAAACGAGCAAGACACTCCCAACTGCTCCCTGGGCGYTTACACAGCTGCCTGCTCCACTCAGGTGTTTCCCACGTGTGATGGGTCAGATGCAGAATCAAATTTTATCTCTACATGGGAACGTGTAAGCAAAATATTAGTGAATTAAGTTGAAATACGATCAGGCATTATTTTGAATCCATGTTGAAATTATACAAAMAGTGGTCGGTGACTGACTTGTTGAAACGACGTTAGGTTTTCAATCATAACTTATACAACTGAAATGTTGATTCAACCTCTTTTCCTCCTCCCCCTCCTCCTCTTGAAGGAGGAGGTGTGCGACAAACAGCATACGTTGATTCATCATTGATTAGATGTTGGCATTTCAATCATTGGAATTCCACAAYGAAACAACATTGATTCAATAACATCTTTTCAACACTGGTTACTTGACCAGATTTGGATGAGTGTTTGATGGYTGTTTAAACACTCRTCAAAAATAAACTTTTTTGACCATAATTCAACATTTAATTAACATCTTTCGCTAGCTGGGCAGTCGTTTATTGATGCTGACCAGATATTCTAGTTAATTTTTCTTAATTTCTTGTTCTGTCTTGAGATAAAGATGATTAAATGCTGAACTAATGATACAAAACAAATGAAAATGATCAGTCCTGCATTGATTAACACCGTAACCATTAAAACGTTAGTCATGTTGTTCAAACATCTTGATTCATCTCTGATTATTTTGGAGGACAGAAAATGACATCTTTTTTACCTTTGTGATGCTGTGTGCAACAGTTGACTTCATGTGGTTTAACTGTGTTAAGTTTAAATGTGGTTTAATACCATAAAGTTATTTATTTTCACCATCACATTTTCTTTACTCTTAAAATCCCCATTTGTGACCCGTCACATCGAAATGAGGATTAAGTCCAAAAGTGAAATGTGGAGAAATGGGTAGTTATCAGGTTTAGGGCTGCAACAACGAATCGATAAAATCGATAAAAATCGATTATTAAAAGCGTTGGCAACGTATTTCATTATCGATTCGTTGTGTCGCGAGATTTMTGCGTGCCTCGCCGTGTCGCGGAGACGTTCACATCACCCGCAGAGCGTTGTCAATGTTGGCTGAGCTGAATAAAGTTTAGGTAGAAAAAAAAACTCTTCCTGTAAAGATCCGCCCTCTCTGACTCTCGAGTGAAAAGTAGAGACTTCGACCTTTAAACCGGTTTTTAAATCGTGTTGTTAGGCCAAGTAGATCTGAAGATAAGATAAAAAGTATCTGACACATTTATTCTTTTCAAAAAGACGTCTGATTTGATGCGCGTCGCGTCGCGAGGAGGAAATGTGTGTGTGTGTG